CCTGGCAAAATGCACCACTTTGGTCTAAGTGAAGCAAATTTTGAGTAACTTATTTGTATTTCTGGATTGTTTTCTTTGTATAATACATATAGTTCCTTTAAATTACACAAAAGCAGTTTTTTTTGTTTGTGGACGTTCTTTTGAATGCTGACATAATCTTTTTTTCCAGGCATAGTTCGACATAAATCACTTGAGTCATAAAACAATTTAACTGAATCTTCTATTTCTTTATGTAAGACTTTACCCTTATACAATGGAGAGATACCTAACAATCCTTTTTTATTAAAATTTTTTCTAGCCATCTTGGCCTGGTATTCTGTAACCGAAAAGTTATTTTGTACTTCTAATATTGACCAACTTGGGGGTGCCAGTGTTAGAAGTTGAACAATAGTTCGTTTGTCAGAACATAGAATTTTTTCTTTTACCAAGCTCATAATTTCATCAAAGTTTGCAGCCTTCTTTTTCATCCCATTGGTTTCATAACATAGTTTTGAGGAAAATTGAGTTTCAATTTTTCTAGTAGCGTTATACGCCATTTCGTTGATGCATGCAACTTTTTGCTTTCCTTCTGACAGTATATGTTTTAATGATTTTGAATGAGATTTTAGAGGAGATAAACTAAAATTTTTGAGTTCTTTATTGATCTCCTGTCTTATTTTTTTGCATGGTGATATTAGAAAATCCTCATCTTGTTCACTTTTACTTTGCTCCTCTTCTGTAAGTTCTTTTTTTCTGGCAATCTTTTGTTTACAAGGTTTGCAAAGTTTTTTCCCAGGAGGAATATTCAAACAATTTCTCATCATGACTTGTGACTCTTTTATTGTAACTACGCCAAGATTTTCTAAAAGTAATTGAATTGTATAAAGTATGTCTGCACATTAGTTCAAAACTTTCATTTATTTTTTGAAAAACATAAATTAATGAAATATTTAAATTTTACAGCTACATACTTGTGATTTTCTTTGTATGTCTATTGAATGGATCACAACAAGCTTTCTGCCATATAGGATACATTTTCAAATATTTTGTATTATGTCTTTCACATAATATTTCTAAGTTTGATAATTCAATATTACAGCGTAAAGATATAATTATTTTTTCTTCATTGCTTAAAGTTTCAATAACATCTTGTTGGCCTTCGCAAGCATCTGATGTCATTAACCCAATAGAACACATCTTAATAAGATAAATTATTTAGTATGAAAGTATTTCCTAAAAATAAAAATAAAATTCTTCTACTTAGTTGTATGTAAAAAAAGTTTTTTAATAAATATAATTTTTAATAAATGTTGTTCTTAATATTATTATTATTAATATTAATAATAAATGTTGTAAAAAAAGAAGTTTTTAAATAATTATATTATTTAAATTATTAATTTTTTAAAATTTAAATATAATCTTACCAATAAATGTTGTTCTATATCTGAACTTTTATAAACTAAACTTTTATAAACTAATTTTTAATAAACTTTTACAAACTATAGTTGTCAAAATTAAAAAAAATATCATATTAACATAACAATTATTTTTTATAAAATGTTTTTATATAAAAACAAAACCGGATGTTTTTTCAGTTGTTAAGTTCATATAATTAAGTTATCATATAATTAAGACTTCCTTAAATATATAAAAAGTCTATTAACCAAAATTAATTCTTTACAGAATTCTATAATTTGCTACACATGTACTATCTTTAGGAAGATTTTTAGCAGCTTTTAAGTGATGCCATACCCTTTTAATTTTTTAATTAGTTTGCAATGAAGTGTATTGAATGCTTTTGCAGTAAGAAAAAAGCAATTCGAAGGATACAAAAAAAAAAAGAACTTTCCTACTTAGTTTTCAGTAAAAAAAAAAGCTCTAGTTTTAAATATATTAAATAATGATATAGTATTAGATATTTCCAAATCTTTGGCTGTAGGATAATTGGAGCTTGATAAGAGATAACAATGATGTCTCAGTGGATTTAATCCTACTTTCTATTTTTTAACTCATCTACAACTTATCACTACTAAGTAACTACTGTTCATACAAAGTAGTTTGATATGTTTTATTGGCTAAATGGTTTAAATGACAGAGATATGGCAATGCCAGGTGTTATGAAACACTATTCTCCTCCCCTCTAACTGTAATAAAAAAAAGTTGTTTTCACCATGTCTTTTGCAATATGCTTTTTTTTAAGTATTCTTGGTAAATTGAACTAAATTAGAACATCACTAAAAATATTTTGTTGTTCCCTCACCCCTCCCCCTCGTTAGAAAATAGTTATGGGCACCCATAAAAGTGGTGTATCTTGGAAACTATGGTTCTATATGTTTTAGTTGTTTTTCCAGTTAGGTTTTTTGTGCCTAGTAAGATAATAAGTAGCTAAAAATATTAAAAGCAAAAAAAAAAAAATTTAGACGGGGGTGTTTTGAGATATATGACCCCTAAGTTTGAATATATAAATTAGGTGTGTTTTTAATTTTAAAGCATGTTCTGTTCATATTTCAGCATTCTAAGTGCATTTTTTGAATTCTGCATTATAAAAGCATTATAAATGCTAAATTTCATATTTTTATTTTCATTATTTTTCATTTTATTAGAGCAAACGTTTTTTTAAAATGACGCAGAAACCAGGTCATTTTGGGAAACCAGGTCTATATTAAAACCTTGATATCTTGTGAACGGCTGAACATTTTTGGCTAAAATTTTGCATGTGAACTTTTCTATATGAAATGCAACAGGTAAAGAAGTTTAAAGAAAATATGAGACCTGTGGTTCAAAATCTTGAAAAATTTGGGTGATTTGATGTGGAATTACCCTAATTTTAATTAAAATCAATATTTATATTTATTATTTGATAAAATTTATTTTTTAGTAACTTATCCAACTTGAAATAAGAATAAGAAAAGTATAATTAAAGATGGAATTGATTTATTATTTTTTTGAAATGATTTTTTTATAATGATTTTTTGAAAATTTATGGTTTTAGTTTTAGTATTTGGTAAAAAAATTTATAACACATCAAAAGCATTTAAATCAGAATTTCAGTGGAACTATATAGGCATTTTAGGTAATTGCAGTTTTGGTCATCATTTACTTAATGGGCCATTGGTGGCAGAAGCCAAAAGTGGCTGACATGAATAACCACTATATCACTTGTTGGAATGTTATTGGCAATTTACTAAGTTTTTTTTTTTTTTTTTTTAATTATTCACCTCCCCAAGGCCCAAGGAGGCCAGTCAGTCAAGGAGGTTACTCATTTTTTATTTATTTATTTATTTTTTGTTGTAAATCGTGGTACAACCCTCTCTCAACTCTTTAACTTTGAAACACATACCTTGACAAGCAAGGCTGCTGCGCAGAGAAATTAAGTTGAGCGCAGTACTTCCAGGGACGTGGTGGTAGTCAAACTCAGTAACTGATGAGAAACTCTCCTTAATTTCTCTTTTTTTTTTATCATTTAGGAAATTTTATTAAAGTGAATGGATTATACTTGTTAATAAAGAAATTATATAGTCCTTCGATAAATTGCAAACCTATATTTCTATTGTTTATATATGTATATATATATATATATATATATATATATATATATATATATATATATATATATACATATATACATATATATATATATATATATATATATATATATATATATATATATATATATATATATATACATATATATATATACATATATATATACATGTATATATGTATATATATATATATATATATATATATATATATATATATATATATATATATATACACACACACACACACACACAACCCTTGAAATTAGGAAAAAGGCAATAATTTGTCGACATCAATCAAAAAAGCAAAAAAATTTGATTCACATTAAACATAGAAACAAGGTCAGCATTATTTGTCGACCTCAAACACTTTTAGGTTGGCATTGCTGCATGCCGACCCTAATTCCGAGGGTTGTATATATATATATATATATATATATATATATATATATATATATATATATATATATATATATATATATATATATATATATATAGTAATATGTTAATTTATAATAATTTTTCTGTTTTTATTTAAAATTTATTAAAAGAAATAAGATTCTGTTTTCAATGTAGTTATTTTCTTCTTAATTTTGCTTATTTTTTCTTTTGAAAAATTGTCTTTCGTGACCAAATCTCTTTAAGTAATAGAAAAATGTCTCCTTAAAATCCTTACTTTTAGCGTCAGTTTTAATGTATACCCTGATTTTGTTTTTGCTAAAAATACAAAATATATGTCAAATAAAATTAAAATATGTTTTGTTAAAATTTAGAATTATTAGAATTAGTTCAAATTTAGAATTATTAGTTATTATTAGTTAATTATATATTATGAGTTAAAATTAGTAGAATTTGTAGTATTAGTTAAAATTTAGAAATAGATAGTGTCAAACATTAATTAGATACAATTTAAAGTTAAACAGAAAAGTTAAAAAAAAAAATTGCTAATGCTAAGAAAATAACACTTGTAAGAATATTTTTTATTTTTCCATAAATTTTATTTACTTGTTGATTAGGATTTATTTTTAGAAGCGTCAACTACATCAAGTGTCAGTTGATATATATGTTTTGGTCGAATACATGTTTGTATTTTGGTAATGTTACGTTACATTTTTGTTTTGTATTTCAAAAACTCATTGCATTTGTTTAAATATGCATTTAGGAATCTTGAATTGATGTGTTTGTAGTTTTTGTATTTAATTTTGTTTTAAATTAAAGAAATTTTATTTGATTAAATGTATTTAACCCTAAAGTTCATTTTTATTTTTTCCTTCGGTTTTAAAAAAATAAAACAATGGTTTTGGCTATAGTTCATTTTATGTAATGGTAATGTACTATAGTTTATTTTATGTAATATGCCTAATGAATTTTTATTAGTAACAACTTTTTTAATTCATTCAGGTCCTCCAAAATTTCAAAGTTTGTGATTCAAAATTTTGCTTTTCCCAAAAAAAGTTAAAGAAAATATATGAAGTCAACGATAAATCTTAAAGTTTTACAAAGATACAAAGAATGTAAGTAATATTTTTTCTTGTAATAATTATCTCGGAAGTTATTTTAACTATCTAGACCTTTCTTCTTTAAAAAATTAATTTTTGAATACTCCGCAATACTCAAAATAGGTACCTAGTCAATTCAGCAAAAAAAAAAGAACATTTAAGAATTTCCTTTCGAAAGATGTAGTTAGTAAAATTTTAAGTAAGTTATGAATATATATATATATATATATATATATATATATATATATATATATATATATATATATATATATATATATATATATATATATATATATATATATATATATATATATATATATATATATATTTATATATATATATATATTTAGTGTTGTCCTTGATGGACAACACTCAATATATATATACACTCTTCTTCATATCCTGTAACTTCAGGGGTTCCTCAAGTTTCAATCCTTGGCCCTATACTCTTTTTAATTTACATTAACAATCTTCTAGATATTCTCACATCTAAGGTGGCATTGTTCGCTGATGACACTACCATTTATTGTCATGATAAGAAGCCTACACTCTCTGATTGCTTGGAGGGGGTATCTGAGCTTGAAAAGGATCTCACCTCTGCTACAGCATGGGGCTTACAATGGCTGGTGAACTTTATTTCAGATAAAACTCAATATTTTTTCGCCAATTGTTATCGCAATAGTTTAGATCTTCCTATATTTATGAATGATAATGTACTAGATTTTTACTTCTGATCTTTCTTTTAAACTGTATATCAAATCCATTGCAAAGTTAGCATCTGCTAAGGCTGCATCTCTTTATCGAGCTCGACACTTCCTTACTCCAGATTCTATAAATCTCAAATCCGTCCTTGTATGGAATACTGTTGCCATATCTGGGGCGGATCATCTTATGATTCCCTTTCTTTTTTAGATAAGGTGCAAAAACGAGTTGTAAACATAGTTGGACCTGCTCTTGCAGCCAATCTCCAACCACTGTCACATCATCATGATGTTGCTTCTCTTTCTCTTTTCTACAAATACTATAATGGGCACTGCTCTAAAGAGCTAGCATCTCTTGTTCGATCTACTAAAATTCATTCTCGTATCACTTGCCATTCAATTAAGTCTCATCCTTTTTATGTGAATGTTCCTAAATGCTCCAAAAACTCTTATTACTCTAGTTTTTTTCTTCAAACAACAGTTCTTTGGAATTCGCTTCCTTCATCTTGCTTCCCTGATTCATGTAATTTGCAATCTTTCAAGTCATCTGATCTGTAATTATATACATAATGCTCACTTAACAAATAAACATAATTTACACAAAATTTTTGAATTGATTAAAACACTAATGTATTGCTCCTATGCCCAGTATAACTTACACTATATTGTCCCATATCAGTTACACTAGTGTTATCTTTTGAATTTAGAAATAGAAGTTATTAAATGTTGGTGGCACATCATGCAGTGCATTTGAGAAGGGCATGCTTTCAAAGTAATTTGAAAGCATGCTCTTCTCAAATGCACTGCATTTATATTACATACTTGATATACATAAATATATACGCTGGTCACAACAATCCAGTCAAAAATTACTTTTTTTGATGAAATTCGTATTTTTTGATGTTTGAAGTTATGTTTATAAAATAATAATTATATATATATATATGTGTGTGTGTGTGTGTGTGTGTGTGTGTGTGTGTGTGTGTGTGTGTGTGTGTGTGTGTGTGTGTGTGTGTGTGTGTTATTTATTTCCTCTTTATTTTAACATACTTATCTTGACAATATTTTTTTAGGGTTAAGACTGCTTTCCTGATTCCTACAGCAAAAAAAAACTATAAAATGCTGGTGGCAATATTTTAAAGAGTGCACCTGATCGAAAAGAAGGTGAATGATGTCAACTGTTCGAACATTCAATTTTTGGAAATTAACAAGTGGAAGAAGAAGTTTACAAAATTGTAATTTATAAAACTCAGCACAATTATATTATTAAAAAATTTAAACGGTTTGTTATTTTTTTCTTATTCTCAAGAAGTTCTGTGAAAACATATATTTGAACCTTACGTTTAAGTAAAGCCATGTAAAAACACGTATTTTAGACGTCGAAATGAGAACGTCTAAATTAGGTTATTTAAAGACGTCATTTGGCGTTTCCATTTAGCACTAGTTCTGAACGTCCTAAATTCACGTCTTTTAGACGTCTAAAAACACGTCTTTATTCCGTCCTAAAAAGACAACCTAATTACGTCTTAAAAAGACGTCATCTGGCATTGCCATTTAGAACCAGTTACGGACGTCCTTTTGACGTCATATAGAGTTGCCGTGCCCGCTGGGAACAAACTAAGTCTTAATACCAACAAAACTGAACTCATTATTTTCAAATAAAATCAATCTAAAATGTATAAAAACCTAAACTTTAGACTAAGTGAACAAAAAATCTTTCCGGTAGTTTCACTAAAATATCTTTGAATCCAAATTGACGCAGATCTACCTTTTTCCTCTTAACTTAAAAACTTGGCAGTAAAATTGTGTAGATCAAATGGGATGCTAGCCAAAATTCGCTACTATGTCAATTATGAAACTCTACTTTAATATATGCCATGCATTTTTTGGATCACATCTTAGATATGCTTGTCAGGTTTGGATACAATGGAAGTCTAATGCTTTTTTAAGGTTATGTAACCTACAAAACAAAGCTTTGAAAATAATATTTTTTCAACAGTATCATTCTAACTCTGACATCATTTGAGTAACTTTAAATTATCTATCCCAAATCGCTGTTCGATAAAATACGGTGATAATTCTATAACAAACCAATGCGTAAAATCGTGGAATAACTTACCTTTTCATTTTCAATCCCTCAACTCTTTTTCACAATTTAAAACCCGTCTTTTTGACTTTTTGATAGAAAAATACTCTAATTAAAATCTTAGGCTTATAATAGATTATTATTACTATTGTTATTAGTATTATTGCTATTATTATTGTTGTTGTTATTATAATTACTAATATAATCATTATTATTGCCATTATTATATTTAATAGTATTATTAATATTATTATAACCGTCTCCATTTAATTTACATTATTATTATTATATAATTGCTATTATTATTTAATTGGTGTTTACCTTAGATTAGTACTCGTACTATTTGTAAACAACCATGAAATGTAAACTTTTATTTCAGAATATATATTTTTGTTGTTGTTGTTGTTATCGTTTTTATTTTTTAAAAACTTATAAAATTTTTGCTTCTTTTTTTAGCATTTTAACAGCGATTTATCCATCCACGAATTAGCAATTGATTTTGTTTTAATTTGTATGACTTCTTGTGGACAGGTTTCATTGAAGTATTCTATAAATTTACTTAAAAAAGTATTGCAAGCTTCATTAGTGACCTGACATCTATATACATTGATCCACGTTTCTTGTTTTAGCCTATTTGTAAATTTATTAGTATTACTTGTTTTGAGATTGCGTTTTTTCAAATGTATTGATTTTGGCTCACAATTAGATGTCATTTTTATATTTTTTACTTTTGTAAATATCGGAAAGTGATCGCTAATATCTGTCACAATTATCCGTGTTTTAAATGTCATGTCCATATTATTGTTAACAAGAATATTATTTATTGTTGTTGCTGAGGTTTTTGTAACTCGCGTTGGTTTATTAGTAGTCGACAAGACATTGAATTTGGAAAGCATATTAAAAAAAGATTTTATTTTGGGAAATTTTGAATAAGTAAGAGCATTATGGTTTATGTCACCAATTACTTATAAAGATTTATTTTCTATATTTATTTTTACAATTGTATTTTTGATAAAAGTTTCAAATGGTTTGATTTTACCACTTGGTTGACGATAAATACATCCGATTAATATATTTCGATATTTTTTATTAATAATTTCAACGAAAAAACTTTCATAATTATCGTTTGACAAGCATAGCAGGTTTTTCAACTTAAAATCTTTTTTAAACATAAACCCCTAATCTTCCACTTTTTTTTCCAGCTCCTCGCGTAGACTTATAAGTTCTAGAATGGCAGTTTATAAATAGAATTTAATTGGAGAGAACTTTCTGAATCGTGCCAAGTCGTTGAAAGAGATATAAGTTTTTTAAAATTTTGCTACATGCTTCCAATGTTTATATGTAAAACAGAAAAATCATAAGTTTTTAATTTAAAATCAAAAAGATCAATATATGGTGTGTTAATTAAGTTCATTTGAGTCTCCTGAAAAATAAGTTTTCCTTAAAAAGGTTATTTATAACGTTATCCTCAAAGGGTTTCAAATTATATATTTCAAAATTATTTTTCATTTCATAGCCATTTTTAATGTATAGTGTAAAAAAGAAAAATTTCCAAATAAAATAAGAATATATAAATATATAATAAATCAAAGAATTCAGAAAGCTAACTCGTTTTCGTGCGTCGAATTAACAGCTGCGCAGCGGTTAATTTTTTCATTTCCGCGCATTGAATTAACTGGTCTATGTGGTTGTTATCTCTAAACTCATGTACAATAAGTTTATTCTCTACAACTTTCGTTATGACGATGTAGCTTTGCTTGTTTTGTCGTTATGACGATGTAGCTTTGCTTGTTTAAAGAGATTTTTTTCGTATTTTTTTCGTATTTTCCGTGTAGTAAAATTAAAACCTTCATTTATAAAAATGTTGCTCCCTTTTAATTTGATTGCTTTTTCTATAATTATTTTTTTATCTTCATAGTCAAAATGTTTTAGGACAATTGTTCGCTCTCGTCTTTCTTTTGTGACCTCCACTCTATGTACTCGTTCTAATTTTATATTTTTCTCGATACCACGTTTTACTTTAAAAAGATGTTTTACCTTTTCTTTAGTGATATCCCAATCTTTATCGTCGCTGCTTTCTAAAACTCCATCAATTCTCAAGTTGTTTATTCTATTACGGTCTTCACTATCCGTACTCTTTAGTTTTAGTTCGTTATTTTCCGAAAATATTTTGCCCTGTATTTTTCTAACATTGGTTAAATCTTCGCAAACCTTATTAATTTTTTCACCAACTGCTTTTACTTTATCTTCATATTCATCTCCAACAAAATTCTAATTTTAATTCATCTAGTTCGCATCGAACATTTTAAAAACACGTTTGAAAATTATCAATCTTTTGATTTATGCCTGATATAGATTCTCGATGATATAGATTCTCGATGATATAGATTCTCGATGATATAGATTCTCGATGATATAGATTCTCAATGATATAGATTCTCGATGATATAGATTCTCGATGATATAGATTCTCGGTGATATAGATTCTCGGTGATATAGATTCTCGATGATATAGATTCTCGATGATATAGATTCTCGATGATATAGATTCTCGATGATATAGTTTCTCGATGATATAGATTCTCGATGATATAGATTCTCGATGATAAAGATTCTCGATGATATAGATTCTCGAAAAAAAGATAGAGTTGTTTCTTTTTGTAGATTAAGCAGCTCTCTCATCATAACAATTGAAACAAATTCGTCTGATTAAACACAAAAAAAACACTCATAAAGTATGTTTTTAACAAATTGTTGCGCTTTAATAAACTTTGGGACGTGCCCTGGGGGTCAAGATGTTAAAGGCGTCTTCTGGCCCCTCTAACATCTTGGCGCCCTGGGCACGTCTGCCTCTTTTGCCTCTCCTCACTCTCTGCGGCCCTGGTATTAGATACAAAAATTTATATGGAAATTTTCTAACATCTAATGAGTTATTAAAATATCAAAAATATGTTCAAAATAAGGATCCAAACCTTTAACTTATAATCAAGTTAACTTATACTTATAATTATGCGGCAGTGGTGTAGTGGTAGAGCGCTCGCTTCATAAACGAGTGGTTCCGAGTTCGATCCCCACCAACGTCCCTGGTAGTACCGCGCTCAACTCGTTTCTCCGCGCAGCGGCCTTGTTCGTCAAGGTTCGTGTTTCGGAGTTATAGAGTTGAGAGAGGGTTATAGCCACAAAATAAGTAGCCTCCTTGTCTGTAGTGGCCTTCTCGGCCTTGAGGAGGTGAAGTAAAATAAAAAAAAAAAAAAAAGTGCGTGTATACATATACATTTGTTATGTTTATGTTATGCTGATGTAAAGAAAGGTTGCGTAAGATGAGCAGGTTTCTAAGCTGGTATAACAACTTTATTATAATAGTATTATAATAAAGTTGTAAAAAGTAATCAACCATAAATAAAAACAATAATAATTCTTTCCTATCTCTAAAAAAGTTTGCGATACTATTTTTTGAAAAAAACTAAAATTGTTTAACATATTAAACTTTTTTTGTTATTTTGATATTTTTTTAGTTCCATTAAAAAAAGCTAATCTTAGTTTAAGATGAAATGATAAGTTGTGTTAAAAATGATGCAATATTTGGTATAAAGATTGTTTTTAATAAACAATTCATTAATATTCTTTAAGAGGAAAGACTAAATTATAATAATCTGCAAAAAAAAATATAAATATTATAATTTTGACTTCAAAAAAAACAACAGACTGTTATCAAGCTTAACATACCCAATCTTCCCCAATAAGTTTTAATATTATTATAACTTGCAGCTTATTAAATTGTAGATTACTTAACATTGTAGCATAATAAATTATTAAAAATATTAAAGACCAGAAGAAAACAGACTTTTGATATCGTAAAATAGTTACCTAAAATAATGAGTCATTAACTTAGTGGAGATTTGCCGATATTGGAACATTTAGGAAATAAAACTTTTTAATAAAAAGATGTCTCAAAGTATGAAAACATTTATGATAAAATTTAATAAAAATAGACAACACTAGACCAAAATTCTGTTTTAATGTTGGTCTAAATTTTAAGTTGAATCTCGATTTAAATTTCGGTTTTGGTACTTTATATAAATTTGGTAAGAAATATAACTTTTGCACACTCGTGGAAAGTGTGGAGTTTTCCTCCACACTGGTGTGTAGCTATATCTTCTAGACACAAGTGTGGAGTTATTTTGCACACTTTAGTGAAAATAACTGGACACCTCTGAGCAGAAGTCGATTTAGAAAAAGTTAATTTCTACAAATGTGTGAAAAATAACTCCACACTTGTGTCTAGGAGAGATAGATACACACCGTTGTGAAGAAAAACTCCACACTTTCCGCGAGCGTGTATAAAAAGCCGAACCGAAAATCTATTTTGTATGATTATATCATTTCCTAATAAAATTTTTAGCCCATCGAAGGGCTTAAAATGTCTTGATTGGAACAAAATGGTGCTTTGACTAGTGATCGACCGAAAAAGAAAATACGCCTAAACCGAAATAAACCAAAATGTCGAGTTGAATTTTTTTCCTAATATTATGACGTTCTTTTATTTGATTTATTAAAAATCACTAAAATCTAGTATTATAGTTAAGGTTTATGATATTTATTTCTTATTCTAATTATTATTTATTTTTAAAATGCGTCTAAACTGTTTCTTGAACACTCCTTTTTTATCACAGATTAAGTAATAGAAAAATTTGGAATTCCTATCGAAACTTTGAAATATTTTTCAATATTACTGGTGATGTGTGCAGATCATGCTTGAAGCAACTTATACAAAAGGTGTATGCTGTTACTTGCATTTTTTTATTTCTCATCGCATTAAACATAAAAAACTGAATAATCCACAACAGTTAATTTACCAGATGCAATCAATTTAGTGTTTGCACAATTTTTTGCTGCCAACTTCCCCCCAACCCCCCATCCCTCCTCTACTCAAAAAAAAAAAAGACGGAAAAAACCCATAACTTGTTAGTACACGTGCATTTTTGAAAGAATAACTTAAAAAAAAATCTTTTAAAAATGTCTCAAGTATATCTTATAACCATCAGAAATTTTATTTCCAAAATAAATGCATTTGTTTAATAAAGCTGTTCTAACTTCTCTCCCTTACTACACTTTAATGGAGAATTAACGAAAAAAAAAGTTGGAAAAATTGCATACATACAAATTTATATATATATATATACTGTACAAGTTTTAAATTTTATACCTAGGAAGCAAATGAGTACATTGAGTACAACTAAAATATTGGTTAGACATATAAAACATGTTTTTTTTGAGAATAGTTGTTATAACCTAAAAAAAATATTGGTTATAATAATCAATAGTTTGGTAAAAAAAAAAAATCTTTTCTAACAAACTTTTAAAAATTTATGTTATCTTAAAACATTATTTCAAATAAAATACTTCAGCAGAACAAAAAAAATTTAAAAAAAGAAAAAATAGAAGACGTAAATAAATAGTAATCAGTTAAAAAAAAAATAACGTCGAGTAACTTTATAAATATTACATAATAGGATACCCTTTATCTAACAAAAAGAGTATATTATTATATAAATTATAGGGGAAAGGCGTCTATGATGGCACAGCGCCTATGATGGCATACTAGTCATATTTTCATAAATATTGGTTATGGCGAAAAAGTGATTAGACCAACATGTCGACTGACTTTACAATATTTTTAGTAAAAATACGTCCCCCTTATGCATAAATACTGCTTTTATAATCAACAAAAATCAATTTTGGGATGTACTTTTGTATTTTTAATCCCTTTAATATATTTAAGATTTCCGAGGGAAGACTCTTAGGTAAAATAAAATTGTCAAGTTACCCTTGATGCTAACCAGCCTTGTCCTCCCCTATACCATCATAGGAGCAGTAGTTTCCTATGACGACATACTTGTGTTTTGTTTTTTTTATAAAAATAACTAATAAAAAAAAAAAACTGATGAAAACTCCAAAGTTTGCTTTACATATAACAAAGAATGTATCTATATCAAAACTTTTGTTCTTGGTCTTCAAGATACTGAATAATGAAATTTTAAAGTTAAGTATGCCATCATAGGCGCCTTTTCCCTATTCCATATTTCCAAACTTTAATCAATAGTTTATGATTTATTATGTTAATCAATATGGAATGATTTTTCCTTGTAACAAATATTAGTATGTGGATTTGTTTGTTGTTATTTTTTTCTGGGGAAACCTCTTCGGTACCTCCTTGGATAATAGTATAACACATAAATAGAGGTGTCTTTTTTTTTTTTTTTTTTTTATTTTGAAGTAAAATTGAAAATTTTTTATTGAAGACTTGCTTCTTCACTTGAAAATCTTGTTGTGAGAAAGTTCATTTTACTACAATAAATATAACTTTTTACTATTTACTTATCCAAACTTGGTTTCAACCAAATTAAATCCTTTTTAAGCGGGAAAAAACAAACACATACCATAGCAATTGATTTATGTTTTCTTATAGTTTTATTTTCTTTATTATCCTTTTCACCATTGATTCTTTTAGCGCCATCTGCTTAATTTGCTTTTTTAAAGTTAACTTGATTTTTTATCACTTAAAATTAAAATAATAATCAGGTTATAATAAAGTAAATTTATGACCATAGGCTACATGTGGTAATTTTACAGAGATTAAAAATGGAAATTATAATAATAAATTTAAAATATAGGTAGCCTAGTTAATACACTAACCGATAGCTTTTTTTGGAGAAAGGAACCACTTATGATTTTTAAGAGCAGGACTAATCGCAGGTGGTCTTGCTTGTCTTTGAGGTTCTACCAACATAGGCCTAGTCCTGTTTGGAGGGGCTGACATTGAGGAACACTGTGCATCTAAACTAGAATGAATACTAGGTGAATGAACAGGGGAAACAACAAGGGAATCAACAGCTGGTGCATCCTCTTGCCGATGATTTCGATCAAAGACATATTGGAACCAATTTTGCCTCTTCACCATTCTGAGTGAATCAAATCGTGGCGAATCGATGACAAAGTCATCAAATGATTTTGTTATCCTGTAATATAAATAAGAATTGTTTTATAATAGTTACTAACTTTTATTACCCTGTAATATAGATAAAAATTAGTTTATAATTGTTACTAACTTTTATTACCCTGTAATAGCTATAAATAAAAATTGGTTTATAATAGCTACTAACTAGCTAGCTGGGCTTATTATTTTATATTGATACAAATGTTAGACACTAATACCTAGCTATCACTTACAGGTGAATGTTTGGGCCTGCTCCCAGTCCTTCCATCGTGCTAGTACTTGTGTTACCAGACAAGATGATGTCAGAGGATATCTGTGTCGCAACATTGACATAAAAAAATTTTCAACTTGAGTGGAAGCTTCAACACGACCGTCTTGAAGCACTCCATCAAATATTCGACTGTCTCCGGAGTGGGCTTCTTCAAGAGTGAGCTTGGTATAATCAGGAGCGTCTTGATCAAATGGCTGTATGCCACATTTTTTAAAGGATTTTACTATTTTCTCTCTACTCATGACCCTTGTGTACAGTGGCAGGAACATTCCTGCAAAGGACTCTTTGGTAACGTATTCATTTGGGTTGGCAGCCCTGAACCTATTCACACACTTAGCCCATTCATTTTTCATAGAGCCAAACAATCCTACGTCCAAAGGCTGCATGAAATGGGTACAGTTTGGTGGGATCAATATAAGCATTATTTGCAGGTCTGCTAAGGTTTTAACTAAATGAAATTGCAGCCTCGATTAATGTTTGTCGGACCAAACTATAACTGGTCTTTGTATATTATGTTGAGTTAACCATTGGTCAAATGCATTAATGAGATACTCATAAAGCACCTGATGGTTAATATATCCCGATTCACTCTTTCCGATTGCAAATAAACTGGATGGAATGGCTTCGTATACATTCATAGGAATACGAAGGTTAGGATAAATTATAAGCGGTGGAGGGAGAGAGCCATCGGCACCAACGTTAGCTGCAAAGAAAAGTGCAAAAAAACCAAAAGTTAGCAAGCAGGCCAAGCTAGTATCATGCTAAGCTATCATGCTTAGAGATATGTTGAAAAAAAAGCAATTTATAGCGCAGCATTAAAAGAAAAGCATTACAGAAATAACATAAAAATGAGCAAAGAATAAAATGAAAATGTACCTAGAACAGTGATTCTTTCCTTTTCTTTTGAACATGTCGCATACGGTACATTTTTAGAACCCTTAGCAGCTAAAACTTTGGAAACCTTGGGTGAAAACTGGAACCCCGACTCGTCGATGTTATAGTTACGCTGGGGTTCCTGAAGGATTTCAAGAAGGTCATGTTCAGAGAGGTACGATCTTATATCAGCAAACCATTGTTGTATGACAGCTTGTGAGACATTTCTTCTATTCGCACTTAATGATTCAGTCATGCGAGCAACTATGTTAGGATGCCTCGACAGGAATAGCTTATACCTTAGAAAATAATGGCTAAATTAGTCGACTAGGTATAGGCTATTTCTATTAGACTAATTTTATGTCTGTATCAATTGTTATAAGCTTTATTTATTAAGCTACAAATATTTTATAAAGTTAATTTGTAATGAAAAATCTTATGACTCGTTATTAAAATTATAACATTTTTTTTTATTTTAATTACCTATAGGTCAACTTTTATAACTTAGGCACAACCTACTTACCATTTATTCCCTGGCTGTCGAGTCCCTGATCTTCCAAATTGAAAGGGACGGTCTCTATTTACTATTTATTTTATTTAAGTAACCTTTCATCCGAAAGAAGACTAGTTACCAATGACATAATGGTTTCTTTGGTAACAGGGTGGGCACGTTTCTGTGCGCTAACAATAAAATTCACCAAAACATTTTCTTCTGCTTCAGTGAGGTAGGTTTGTGGGCCCATCTTTTTTACAACAGGCGCTTTACCACTTATTTTGTCCCTCAATGTGGTGCGCGGGATATTGTACAACTTGGATGCCTCTGAAGCAGTTCTTTCACCACTGAAATATAGCACAGTATAATTTAGGTATGTAACTACTTTATCAGTACTAGGCAGCCCTACCCTATGTATTTCTTTTAAATGTATTATAGGCATTAGGCTATTATGACTACACAATAAGCAATTTAAGCATTGAAATTATGTCTATTAATGCATGCTAATTTTATTACCTTTTTACTTCTTCAATTGCCTTTCTAATGTCCTCCTCAGTGTAAGAATCTCTTGTAGACATACGTGAACCCTTATTGGACTTTGATTTACTAGTATTCATAATTCTAAATGGATATTATGTACCTAGGTACTTATTGAAACTATTTATTATAAGTCTTAACTTGATATATAAATTAATTTAATATAGTTATATAGCCATATTTGGACTGCTTTAGTATTGTTTAATAACTAGGTTAACAGATAACCTACTTCTGAAATAAAAAATAAATACTTAGCTATATTTATACATTTAATAAAAAATAAAAAATAATAATTTGTTCCCGATGGCGAACACTGGCAAAAGGGGGGTGGCGAACACTGGACAAATTTAAAACGCCTATAACTTTTTTGTTTTTAAACGAAATTCAACCTAACGAAGACTGGCATATGGGTCTAAGTCCATATTTTACCATTAAGCCCATATACGCCACTTTAAAGAAAAAAAATTTACCTGGCGAAGACTGGACTAGGTACTATTATGTGTTCCAGTCTTCGCCACCCCCCCTAACCCTGCCCCCCTTAATTTTTTTCCAAGAATAGCCCTGGTACAATCTTCTCGTTGTTCTTCCCATCGATCTGGAATAAAAAAAGTGAAATTGAATTGATATTTAATATGTTTTTTATGTAATTGTTTATAAAGATTTCTGAAAAAAAATTTTAAGGATTAAGGTTTTTTTGTGACACACTTTCATTCAAAAAAATCCTGAGAGTTTATTTATTTAGTTACGATCGTCAAACTTTCGTCAAATATAAAGCAATGATGGGCGTTCATTCTAGACACTATTTCGGCACTTTCAACCAAATAGTTTTTGACATGCATGTTTTTTAATGGAAAACTGGCGACGACTGGAACACCTGGCGAACACTGGGTATTTTACCCTATATATATATATATATATATATACAGACCCGCCCAGAGCTTTTGTGATGCCCGGGTCCAAAAGTTTAATGGATGCCCTATCATACTTCAGGTCTTAAAATAGCAAATAAATTAATATAGTTTACTTTCATAAAAAACCTAAAATCACATTTAATTTTGGTTTGCAAGAACAAACTATGATAAAATCAATTCTTAATTGACAAACACATTTTCCGGGCCTACTTAGCAGCAAAATTTGAAATAACTTCTTCATAATTAACGTTAATGGCTAAATCTGATTTGATTGAAAGAATCATCAAGTAGCACAATCGCTCCTGGCCCATTGTGGAACGAAGATAATCTTTGATGATAGCTAACTTGCTGAAAGATCTTTCTCCTTCAGATGTTGAAACGGGCAATGTTAGAAAGATTCTAAGAGAAACACACACTTGCGGAAATATTGAATACAGCCCCTTTGCATAAACTTCATTTAGAAGTTCGACAGGCTTTTCGCTGGCTAGAATATTTCTTCTTACGGAAAAGAAATGCCGAACTTCATCAGAAAATTCGTTTTTACATAAGTCTTCTGGGTAAAGTTTAGCCAGATTCTCAGCTTTTAAACCTAGTTCATGGTCTGTTTGAGATTTCTGTAAAGACCAAAGGAAGGAAAACTTGCTACATTCCTCTTCTATTACTTTAAATCTTGATCTCATTTGACTAGTCAGATTGTCGAGTGCAACATTGAAGACATTACACTCAAAGTTTTTTGATGCTTCTTCGTGGTTGTAACCAGCAGTTTCATCTGAGACGATCTTTTTTCGCGTTCTCTTCACAGTAAACATTATTTTATCAAATTTCAAGTTCTTTGCAACTTCTGTTGCCTCTATCAAAATCAGGTCCCAAGACAGACGGATTCGATCCAGATCCATCAAAAGGCCATTTAGAATCTTTACTTCATCATCAAGAGTGAGTTGAGTGGATTGAAGCAGAAGACTCACGTTATTAACTGCCATCAAACATTTAAACCAAAAAGTAGTGAAAACAACAAATTCAAAAGAATTCATCCATTTAATGAGATAATGCACTTCATTACTACTTTCGCCTGGAAGGTCTAACTCTTTTAGACGATGTAATGATTTCAAAATCTCTCTTGGCTTTTTTGCTAGTGGCTTAACTGATTCAATCCTTGAACTCCATCGTGTAACAGAAAGTTTATGTAATGATTGGCCTGTCTCCTCCTGAAGAACTTTCCAACGAACTGGGCTGCTGCTGAACAGATTGTATAGCTTTTGAATATTTCCAAAATAGGATTTTGCAGGAGCCGATGATTCAATAGCGTGTACTGCACATAAGTTCAAACTGTGAGCAGAGCAAGGAATGAAAATTGCTTGTGGATTATTCTGTTTTATCAAAGCTTGAACTCCATTGTAAATACCTGCTATATTAGCGCCGTTGTCGTAGCCTTGACCACGACAATTTTTTATGTCGAGCTCATTCTCTTCCGACACATTCAATATCAACTTTGTTATATCAGATCCCTTCTTCTTTTCAAGTTCTTCTAGCTTAAGGAATCTTTCTTTGACCTCCCACAGCTGATTATCATTGAAATGCAAAAAACAAAAAACAAAAGTTATTTGCTCGCTGTGGGACGCTGTCCGTAATGATGGTGAAATATATTGATTTTTTGATTTCTCGAATAACTTCTCGAACCACTAATTTGCCGCATTCCTTGATAAATTCATTTTGTGATTTCCAAGATAAATAATGAGCTTGCATGCGATTTTTTTCTTCTTGGTGCTTAGCAATAAGATGCATATGATCTTGTAATGTTTTGTTGTGGCGAGCAATTAATTCGAGCGCTCCAAGGAAGTTTCCATTCCCATTTTTGAACAACTTTTGATTGGATCCTAATTACAAACAAAAAGTAATCAAAATAGTAATCCATATTTATATCCAATTAAAACTTGTAATTTTGATTTTTAATTTACAAATAAAATAATGCAAAATATAATTTAAAATTTAAAAACAATATTCTTACCCCTAAAAGCTAAGTTTCTTGAAGCTAGAAAAATTGTGACGTCAAGAATGCATTGTAAAATTACTTTCCATCGCTTTGTTTCATCTCCAATTTGTTTTTCTAACTGATGCTCAATGGACTTTTGACTTTTCAAGTGAATCGTAGCTGTTTTCCATTGGAGATAACAGTTACGGTGAAAATCGCTTTGTTGATGACTCTTAACGCGATCTGAAAGTTTTCTCCAATTTCCATGTAAATCTCCATTCCAAGACAACAAACTGGATTGAACACCGGGTCTGGTTAAGTTAGGCGATCCAAAAAGGGAGCAAGGGAAACAAAAGAGTGATGCCACAGCCATACTCCGAACGAGCCAATCTCTTTTAACTTTTTATCCGTTTCTTTGTTCCTCTAAAAAGATATAAGTAGGGAATTCGCGTTCTTTTTGATCTCTTGGAAAATTGCTAGGATTTGAAGAAGGCCCCATCAGAATTATATTCGTTCGATCTGTGTCTGATATTGATTTCCATAGTGCAGGATCGTTAGAGATTTGTATAGAAAGATCACTTTTATAAATTTGTTGGTCATTGTGACAATCAAGTACAAAATCCAACTGATCCTTTTTTAAATGTGATGATGTTTTTTGGGAGTCATCGATGTCATCGGCAAGAAAAAGTTTGTCGGAATTATGGTCTGGCAACTCATTAGAGTCATTGATACCGATCTCAATATCATTGAGCTATAAAGAAGTATTAAACAGAATTATTCTAATTATTTTTTCATGAACGTCACAAGATTAAAAAATAGTTTAACTACCTGCTTGCATTTATCTTCGATTTTTGTCCAACGACCCAGCAAACAAAAAGATATCTAAAATGCATCTAATATGCATCTAAAAACTGATCTAAAAGATGTCTAAATTCAGGTCTAGAACGGGACATAAATAGACGTCTATCTTATAGATGTCTTTTAGATGCATTTTATTCGACACAAATAATTGCCTTAGATGCATAAAAGATGTGAAATATACATCTTACAGATGCATATTAGATGTATAAAATACGTCTCTTAAATAGATGTCTAAGGCGCGTTTAAAAAAGATAGATAATAGATAATTTTTTAGTAAATAATAGCTCTTTTATGCATCTAATATACATCTAATATACATCTTTAAATGTATATTTCGCATCTTTTATGCATCTAAGGCATTTATTTGTGTCGAATAAAATGCATCTAAAAGACGTCTATAAGATAGACATCTATTTATGTCCCGTTCACGACGTGAATTTAGACGTCTTTTAGACCAGTTTTTAGATGCATATTAGATGCATTTTAGATATCTTTTTTTTTGCTGGGACTTGTTTGATACAAAGGTGTTACAGCGGTTAAATTAGTCATAAAAAAGGATTAAATTTTATAAGTAAAGAAACATTTTAACTAACATTACTTAATTTTTATTTCACAAAATTATACATAAGAAACTATATTTCTGCATTGCCGTCAACATTTTCTTCCACGTCGCCGATATCTAAAATATATACATTAATGACATTTAAATGACTTTAAAAGACATGTAGAATTCTAAATCTATTTTTATGAAATATTATATATATATATATATATATATATATATATATATATATATATATATATATATATATATATATATATATATATATATATATATATATATATATATATATATCCGATACTGTATGTGTGTGTATATATATATATACACACACATACAGTATCGGACAAAACCAGTGCAACCAAATGATGCTAATTTAGTTTCTTTGTATAAAAGTGTTGTATTTTATCAATTTAGAGAAATAACTATGTAACTGTTTAGAGACAACGTTCTTCAAATTTTATTCATCACAAAGTTCATTATTTGTACACGAAAATTAATAAATTAATCAAAAGTATTAAAAAAAGTTGATTTCCTTATGGACAAAACAAGTGCAACTCCACAAAATGTTGACCAAGCTGTATTCATATCAATATTTTGTGGTGAATCCTTTGTTGTCGATCACAGCCTTGCATCTTTAAGGCATAGATTCGATCAGGTGATCAATGAAACTCTGTGGAATCGCTGCCTAGGCCTTTTGGATTTGTTCAATCAGTTGATCCTTATTACGAACACATTCATGATTAACTCTGCGGTTGACAATCTCCCACAGGTTCTTGGTAGAGTTGAGATTCGGAGATTGAGGCGGCCAATCCATCACCAATAGCTGGTTGTCTTGAAACCACTGCTTGACTACTTTTGCAGTGTGTTTGGGATCGTTGTCTTGCTGAAAAACCCATTTTATTGGTATATTCCATTCAGCATGAGGTAACATAACATCTTTCAGGATATTTTAATACATGAAACCGTCCATTATTCCATCGATTCGATGTATTGGACCTAGACCATTAGCAGAAAAACACCCCTAGACCATTACATTGCCTCCACCATGCTTCACAGTATATATATATGTATGCTGCAAAATGGCACTTGTCAACGAAAATCTGCCTGTGTGCTGTCACCTGTCAGCTGATTGCTCATTTCATGGCATGCTATGACTCCAGACTCCTGAACTGTTTGCTGTGGTAGTATAGTTCGTTTCATTTTTAAGACATATAAAATTAGGAACACTTTTTAGCATTGTTCGATGTTGGTTGCAAATTTTTTGTCCAATACTGTATATACACATATATAAATGTATATATATATATATATATATATATATATATATATATATATATATATATATATATATATATATATATATATATATATATATATATATATATATATATATATATATATAAACAAGAAGATTTGTATCTCAACCATAAACAACAATTTTTTATGATAAATAATAAACAATTTTTTTATGATACAATAATAAACAACAATTTTTTTATGAAAAAACTAAAGGAACTTGTATTATGGATACAAAAATTCTAGCATGACACAAAAAAGTCGAAGAATATCTTTTTAATACAGATATCAGTTTTGTAAATACTATTAAAACTATACCTCGTAAAACACTCCATATATTTACTAGATTTTCTAAGCTTATCTTTTCCCCATTTCCTTTTCGATTTAATTTGGACTGTAACTGATTCGAAAATAACCTGATAAATATTTTAACAATAAACTGAAATATATAAAAATTTTTATTTTAATATATGTAATAAATTAAAATATAGTTTAATAAATGAATGCCTAAAATTATGAAAGGTAAAAGCATTAAACTTGAAAATAAAATGCTAAACAAGGTTTAGCATTACACTTACTTTAGCACACAAACAAACTTAAACACCTACAGCGAAGCTTCTGAGTTTATCAAATTGTCATGTTAAAAGTAAATCCATAACAAATAACGGTCAAAAAGAATTGCTTTTGGTCCCTTTTAATCATATTTCTAATAATTAATAAAAACATAATCATTTACCTTTTCATGATCAAAAAAACATGTTTTCTTGGCTTTCCACCACCAATCTTTTTTAAACTATCAAGCTGAAATAAATGTAATAAAAACTAGTGTAACTTAAATTTCTTTACAACATATTGAGTCTAACACAAGCTAGTTATTTTAGTTCATTTACAAATACTTTTTATTTAGATTCTAAACTAATAAACCAAATTTAAACAAACTTATTAAAAATTAAGATAATTAGATTATACCAAATTAGTATACTCGGTTTTATCTTTTAGTTTATTATCCAGTGTAACCACTTTGTCCACTGATTCTAGCAACTTCACCCCAGTAGCCTGAAACTTAATTTCTATAACTTAAATTAATCTTTCAACTAATTTTGTACTCTTTCAATTTTTGAATTCAAACAACTTCAGCATGCTTTCAATCAATTTTTCAATTTTCATATCAAGTTGATTAAAGGATTATTTAATACAATAGAATGTTGTCAATGATAAAAATATATGTAACCAATTTAACAACATTACATATAATAGGACACCAAAATAGTTAAAATAAAAGGAAAATCTTAGTAATACATAAAAAAGACTAATAGCTAGATAGATATTATTCAGATCAAATTAAACAAGAATCTATTTCAGTTTATAAACCATTAAGAAAAAATTATGATATTTATGTTATACTTTTAGCATTGGGCTTATTCATAATAGGTGGCGGAGGTTCTGGCAATGAAGAGCGGTACGATTTGTTATTCTTATTTTTAATGCTTTCTTTAACATATATCTCATCTGATGTAGAAAGTTGTATTCTTCACAACATGAAAATGAATCTAATTATAAAACATTTTGCTACAAAAAAGTAATTAAGTTACCTTTAAAAAAAATACAAAACAATTTTTGGACACGTCTACTGCATCTCTTTTCGTATGCCTTTTTTGTAAAAGACATAAATGAATCTTGGTTTCTCGATAAAAACGATAAGTGCACAACCAATAAAACAATCTTTTGTGTTATTGAAAAACACTCATATTATGAGTGTATATATATATATATATATATATATATATATATATATATATATATATATATATATATATATATATATATATATATATATATATATATATATATATATATATATATATATATATATATATATATATATATATATATATATATATTAATTACATTATCTTTTATTCCAGAAATAAAAATATCAACTTGAAAATATTAATTTTGTAATATTTCTGCAAAATAAATTTCAAATCACACGGATTTTAGCAAACATGCTAAGCATCAAATCATCGAAATATTTTGTGAACTACAATAGCATGTTATTTTATTATTTAAAATTTATCAAAAGAAATAATCATTAATATTTTCCATAGGTTAAAATCTTCATGCTTTTTTCGTAATAAGTTTAAGCATGGTTTTTAAATGGCGGTCATTTATAATTGTCACTCCGTAAAATTAGTTTGATACTTTTTTTCTTGTTTTTATAACAAATCTATATAAGACATCTTATAGACATCTAAGTTTAGATGAAAAAAAAATTATCTAGGCACGATCTATTTTATGCATCTAATATGCATCTAAAACAGAGCAAAAATAGTATCTCTAGAATCAGACGTCTTTTTGATCTCTATTATACGTCTAAAATATACGTATTGGCAATAGATACAAATTAGACCAATTTTAGACGGTCTAAAAGACGTCTATTGTTTGCTGGGGAACGCAATCTAAAAGCGTTCGTTTGTTTTTGTTTTCGTTTTTTTTCCGAATCATCGCTCTTTTTCTCCCAGCAGCTCCAGACAGCTGTTTCAATCGTGGAGGTCTTTGATTATTCATGCTAAAACTTATGACGATATAAAGAATTTTACCTTTTTAAATTTTAAAAATTAAAAACTTTATAATACTTTGGTGTTATTAATTGCAGAGAAAATGTCAGTACTTACAATTAAAATATCCACTGAAGATAAGTTTCTTGTCAAGATGTAGTCGGAACAAAATGCAGGCGAGTCAAAAACATACATATGCACAAAAGTATCCACAGGGACGCAAGGTTTAAGCAAAAATAAGTTAAACTATCAGAAGTCAGGCTTTTACAAACGTTAAATAAGAAAAAAAAAATTTTAACGCTTTTTATTCTATCATGCGAACAAAAGGCCAATGAAAACGCGTGCGTTCAAATGGATAATGAAAACCTTGTAAAGTAATAATTATCCTATTTTAAATGCAAACAAAGTTTAAAAGGAGAAAGAAATTAATACACAAAAATTGCTTAATCTTTAAATACGTTATCAGCTAAATTTTTTATCATTTCAATAAAATGCCCCATAGACTGTGATGCCCGGGGCAAACTACTTCAATTGCCCCCCCCCCCTCTTGGCCGCCCTTTATATATATATATATATATATATATATATATATATATATATATATATATATATATATATATATATATATATATATATATATATATATATATATATATATATATATATATATATATATATATATATATATATATATATATATATATATATATATATATATATATTTATATATATATATATATATATATATATATATATATATATAATTAAAATTCAAAATATATAATAAAATAAAATTAATGTATAACTTTTATTAAAAGCTCTTCCTCCTTCCACCAGCAAGCGCTTATATTTTTGCTATTTTTTATAATATACTAGCAGGGCTTGGGTAGGGTAGGTGTCACAGGTGGGGGGGGGGGTAGCCATTATAATAACCATCAACTCACCATTCAAATAATCATCAACTCACCGCGAACGGACGTGTTTTAAAATATTTTTTTTTTTTTTTAAAAAAAAAAAAAAAATGTCTAAAGGATTATCATTTACTCAAATTAAAGAATTCTTGAAGTGCACGAGAACACAATATTAAAAATCTTTGGCGAAAAAGTTAACAGGATGGAGGAAAAAATGGAAGTACTTAAAAGCGAAAATTTAATTTTAAAAAAGGAAATAGCAGATATTAAAAGTGCAATGACTTTTCAAAATGAAATGTATGAAAAAGAGACTAAAGAATTATACGACTTTAAAGAACATCTTAAACACAACACGAAAGTAAATGAAAAAGCTTTAAACAATGAAGAATTTAAAGATAAACTTGCGGAAATTGAAGACAGAAGCAGAAGAAATAATATACGATTTGATGGCTTTGAAGAGAAGGAAAATGAAACGTGGGAGGAAAGCGAACTTAAAGTTAAAGTTTTCTTAAAAGAAAAGCTTGACATGACGAACGAAGTATATATCGAGAGGGCTCACAGAACAGGAAAAAAGAATGAAGTTGGAATGAAAAAACGAAGAACTATTATTGCAAAATTGTTATACTATAAAGACAAAGAAAACGTTTTAAAAGAATACCGATTACTCAAATTATGGAACGAAAAAATATTCTTGAATGAAGATTTTAGCGAAAGAACAAGAGATAAACGGAAACTTCTTTTTGCAAAAGTTAAAGATATTCGAGCCACCGGTAAGTATGCTAAAGTAGTATACAATAAATTAGTTACACGCGAATTTTAAAAGAATTAATTTTTTTTATTTTTGGATTTCAAATAACTAAAATGGATTCAAACGAATCTGTTGATTTTCAATCAACTTTAATTAACTTATTTCAAACTAATGATTTTTTACTGGACAGCAATAATGACCCTGACCTAAATTATTTTAGTGGAGCTGGTGCTTTAAAAAACAAGTGCAGTTATTTGTATGTCCAAGAATTAGAAAAATTTTTTGAACCAGATAAGTTGAATGTGATTCATATAAATGTAAGAAGTTTGAAAAAAAACTTTGAAAATTTTTGTAATTTAATTGATGAAACTTTTAACATTTTTAGCGTAATTTGCTTAACAGAAACTTGGTGTGATTCTGATGACGTTTATTTTATTTCTAATTTTAACTTGCCTGATTTCATTAGCGCGTAAAACCAATAAACGTGGTGGTGGCGTGATTATTTACGTAAAGGAACGCTTGAAATTGTTAACCAGGCTTGACATGAGTATTTCTGATAGCAATAAAGAGGTTTTATCAATTGAATTAATTATTAAAAAAGCTAAAAATATTATAATTAGTTGTTGTTATCGCCCACCATCTGGTGTAATTGAAAGTTTTAGTTCATATTTACATCATGATATATTTAAAAAAGACCAATCATGAAAAGAAATTTAACTACTTAATAGGTGATTTAAATTTATGTTGCTTCGAATATCACGTAAAACCCAACATTAAAAGTTTTTATAATGACATTTTTGAAAATGGTGCGGTTCCACTAATCACCAAACCAACCAGAATAACTCAATCAACATCTTCCCTGATTGAGCAATCGTCTCTTCTTCATTGGGGGCACATTTCCAATTTAGATGATGCTAACCTGGCTAACAACAAATTTTTTAAAACTTTTTTTGATATATATGATGTTAATTTTCCAAAAATCAAAATACATTGTAAATTAAAAAGTATAAAATCCCCATGGATTACTAAAGGGTTAAGAAAATCATCCAAAATTAAACAAAAATTTTACATTAAATTCCTAAAACTAAAAACAGATAAAAGTAAAGCTATATATAAAAGTTACGCCAAACAATTCGAACGTCAAAAAATAAATCTTAAAAAAAATTATTACAATGATTTACTTGAGAAATATAAATTAAATTCTAAGCGCACATGGGAAGTTATAAAGGAAATCACAGGCAGTTTTAAAATGAACACACTCACATTGCCTAAAACCATCAAATCAAATGATAAATTTTTGTATGATAAAGAAGAGATAGCTAACGAGCTGAATAAATATTTTGTTTCTGTTGGACCAAATTTATCCCAAAAAATTCCTCAAGCAATTAATCCAATAAGTAATCTATTTATCCCTAATACATCGCAATTTAATTTGTTTGAACTAACTTTTGAAGAGTTTGAATGCGCTTTTAAAATGCTAAAACCCAACAAATCAGCAGGTGCGGATGATATCAATGTAAATATTGTTATTAAATCATATGAAATCATTAAAGATGTACTTTTTAAGATTTTTTCTTGTTCTATTAGGCAAGGAATTTTTCCTAACCAACTAAAAATAGCAAAGGTGATTCCGATATTTAAGGGAGGTCATTTAACTAATGTTAGCAACTATCGTCCCATTTCTATTCTATCTGCATTTTCAAAAGTCTTGGAGAGAATTTTATACAACAGAATTTATAATCATTTATCTGTAAACAATTTAATATATAGCAATCAATATGGATTCAAAAAAAATAACTCGACAGAACACGCAGTTCTCCAGTTTACAAGAAGTATTACTAACTCTTTTGAAAACTCCCAATATACAGTTGGGGTTT